GCAATGACGCCAACATGCCGTTCGCCTTGCCTCAGCAACGGCGCTAGAGCTCCGGTGAGCGAGCAAACGAGTGAGTGAATAAAGGGGAATAGTGGGTATAGGTAGACAGTTACTGAAAGCAGCTTGATCGGAGTGAGGACCTTAGCTTTAATTCATGCTGCTGCCTTTGTCCATTCGTTGTGCTTCTCTCGGTCGACCGTAGCTGCTGTAGAATACGTCATTCACACTTCAGCCAACCTTTCAATTACTAGCAAAAAATAGCAATCTGAAACAAAGATAAAAATGAAGAATTTACGGTATTTGCAGAATGCATTAATTAACGCTGATTTATACTTAATTTCGCATGAACGCTTTGTTTGTACTGCGTGTGTGGAATAAATTATTAGAATTTAAACTTACAAATTATAAATAAATCTTATAAACTGTAAACAATTAGAATACAAGAGTCGAAAATGTTCAGAAAAAGAGGAAAAAGATCTTTCAAATTTCTTTTTTATAACCAGTAACAGTAACATTCATTTATTAAATTGAACGAAAAAGCCATACTATTGAATGCTGGTCAAAACTACTATAGAGCAGGTTGTTTTAACAAATTATTTGACCACTACCTGTTATTTCAGTTCCATATTGCTAGAATTGACTACAATTTAAAGAAAAGACAATAAAATAAGAGTTCTGAAAGGGAGTTTAAATGACAAATTGTAAACAATTAAATTTGTTTAAGAGTTACTAATTTCCAAAAAAAAATTTTTTTTTGTTTGCTTATCTCTCGTAGATAAGTAACCGACATCAAAAGGTTTCTGAAGCATATATAACCAAGTAAGTGAATTTATATGCCTCGCTTATGGTCGGTCCAAGTTCATCTGTAACATGCTCTGTAAGCAAAACCTGACATTTTCAGTATCTTTCAGTAACTATAACTGAAGATTTTAATACTTAATCCAACTGAGTTCTGCTTAAATGTGAGCGAAGTCAAAACACAAAAAATTCTTTTGAAAAAAAGCAATATTACAGTTGTTATTATCTTCACTGTTATAAGCATCATCATTCTCATCTACATCATCGTCATCATCACCAGTAGCAACATAATCACTACCATCATCATTATCATTTATCACATTCTTCATCTTCGTCATCTAGACCCAAAGTAAATAGAAGATCAGAATCTGTTACTCAAGTATTTTTCGAGCTCTAACGGCATTTTCATAAGGCAAAGTCAAATAAGCTGTAAAAAAACGTCCTTTTCTCTGCTGTACAATGACAAGTCCGGTGAAGTTGCAAACAAAGTAAATCTATAAAAACTATGGAATTTAAAGCTGAGAATTTACTCACATCGACCGAAAGTTCAAGTATAAGTTCTCCTTTCCTATTATTTGACGGCTAGGTACGTAAATGTGTTATACGCTAGAAAACAACTTTCAGTAAGACTTTTTTCCTGACACATTATAGGTTTTAAATCCTCAAAATTAATACATCAAATTCTTCATTGAGCACTTTAAGCATAACTTTTTCCATGAAATGATTGTGCTTTACAGAGAAAAACCTTTAAGTTCAGTTCACTCTTAAAGGTTGTAAACTTTGACCTAGCTCAGAGAGTTGAAATTACGCTTAACAAAATTGCCAAAACATAAACGCACTTTGAAAGCAAATGGTACTTAACTAGATTACTGCTCCAACAAATAAGGCTATTTTCGAAATCAAAATATAAGACAAAGAAGCAGTATAAAGACCGTTTTAAAATCCTAAATTTGAAAATAAGAAATGTATATATAAAGTGCACTGTACCTAATCCTCGCTTATTAACAGCGCCAACTTCAATACAATTTTAAATCTTTGTTCTTTTTATCCACTTTTTATAGCCAAGCATTACCAAAACTTTAAATAAACTTCGAATTTTAGAGTTACTTTTCCGAGCTTACTGTAGAATAAAAAGCAATAGTCTTCAAAACCGAAATACAAATTCTTCTGTCTTTGTAAGATTTCTTGCTGCAATAGCAATTTTTAAGCAGTCTTCCCCTTTTAATCTTTCCTTTTATTCCACTAAAGCAGCTCAAAACTGTGACCGCCGAGGTCATGTTAAAATTCTTTCTCAGCTTCTACTGCGCATAAATATGAGTGCGAATATATATGCAAATCTGTAGATAAGAATAAATATAAGAAACAGAAAGAGAAGTAAAAATAAAAATAAAATTAAAAATAAAAACAAAAATGAAAAAAAAAGTAAAATTAAAAATACAAGGAAATAAAATAAATATAAATATAAATATAAATATAAATATAAA